CATGAGCCGGCAGCGGCTGCGCGACCATGGAGTCGGGGCGGTGGCGCCCTCTGGCGGGCAGAGGCGGGGCCTCCGCGCCCCTCTATGGCGGGGCTCCCTGGCGAGGGCCCGCTGCGGCCCCGAGGCCTCGCTCCCTCTGCAGCGCCGGGGTTGTGCCAGTTTGTCCTTCAAAAGAGAAGAGGGTCCCAGCCGGCGCGGTCAGACGGCGGCCGCTACCCGGGGAGATCCCTGGGAGATCCACCAGTCCTGCTGCTCCACCTGCCCTTGTCCGAGTGCTGCTCCTGTCAGCTTTGCCTTGGACCCCTAAAATCTTAAGCTTTTGGGTCTCCAGGAGCTCTGTTGCAACTCTTGCTCTTCCAGATTCACCTTGGTCTCTTTATTCATGCTTGGTTTTCCTCTCCCTGATGCCCAAGGTGTTTCTTGGTTTAAGTGCTTCTTTGCCCACACCCTACTCCCCCACCCCAGTGCTCATGTCTTCATCTCTTTATAATCTGCAACTCCATTGACAACACTAAATACCTTTAATCTGGTAAAACAGACTGTCTGCATCCCAGGGCACAGTCCCACTGGGAAGACCCCTGCCTGCAGGTTTGCTGTGCCCTGTGGCACCACAGTTGGTCTGTGCTGGAGCTGTCAGAACATGTGGATGTGGGAGGTGAACCTCACTGCTAGCTACTCACAGCTGACAAAACTTAGGGTGCAGGGTTGCTACCTTATCCCAGGGGTATTCCTGGCCAACTGCAATGCTTTCAGTTTGCTAATTTGGGTGTGGAGCAAGAGGTGTGATTAGACAATCCCTCCTGCAGTGCTACAGGCCCTCCACTGATAAGGTGTTGCAGGTGTATTTGATCAGCACATTTCATGGAGCTGCTCAATGGTTTGTGCCAAAACTGTTCATAAAGGTGTGGAATAGGATCAGCTGCTGGGGTGAGTGCTGAGGCTTCTGCCTAGTCTAGCCCAGTACCTGCAGGATGCTGTCACCTCCCTGTAAATCAGCTCTCTCAGCTCTTTGCAAGTGTCAGGAGGTCACAGAGGTCCCCTGAGATCCCAGGCAATGATGGAGCAAGTCACTGGCACAGAAAGGTCCAAGTGCCCATCCTACCTCCTGGCTCACCAAGGGGCTTTCCATCTGCTGAGACCTGGAGCCGGGGATGGGAGGATGCAGCTGTGCTGTGCCACAGGCAGAAGAGTTGGAGAGCATTGTCCCATCCATCTGCAGGTGGCATCAGGCCCCTGTCTTGGAGCCTTCTTTCATCTGCTGCTTTAGCAAAGTTTGGATGCGTTGGCTCTGAAGTATTTTTCTTGGCTCAGGACAAGACAGCGCTTTTACCTCTGTGCTTCTGCCTTTAAAGCATGCCTCAGTGAGTGTTAGATGGGGCAGCTGTGGTGGCGCAGGATGTGTTTGTCCCAGGCTTTCTCTGCAAGGAAGGGGAAAGTCTCCCTTTGACAGAGGGGCTCATGCAGCCCCTTGCTCAAAGGCCCAGTAACTCATGAAGCTCTGATTCAACCCGTTTTCCTTGCTCCCACAGCTCTCCCCAGAGCCTTAATCTGTCTGGAGCGTGGGCTGCCTGCAAACTCCTCTGTGCTGCGGCGCGTGACGCCCCCCTGGGCCCCTTCTCCGCTTTCCCAGCGGCCACGAAGCAGAGGCTGTGCTCGGGTCGGCAGGGCACAAAGCTGCTGGCGGGGGCTCGCCCTGACCCCCAGCCCTGCCTGCTGTGCCTGCTGCAGGCAGCCCGCCTCTCCCGGCCTGTGCAGACCTGCAGGCAGCATCGGCAGCCCTGCCGGGCCACAAACACACCCAGGAGGGTGTGAACAGGCAGCAGAGGAGCAGAGTAGGACTCTGTGGGCAGGGACGCCCAGCTGAGAGCCCAGCCCCAGCATTCACCTGGCCTGTCGGCGTCCCAGCGGCAGGATCCCAACGTCTGCAGGGAGCAGGTATTTTGCCCTGGGGTGGCAGCCCATGCCATGGGGACACCATCCTGTGCTGCCACGGGAGCTGCTGGATAGCTGGCAGAGTGGCAAGGGGAGGGTGTTCATCCTAGCCCTGTGTGCAGCTCGGGGGGGGGGCGGGGAAGGAAAGGGGCTATCTGGACTGTTCCCACACTCTGAGAGTGGGGATGAGGAGCCCAGGGCTGACTGCATGAGGGAGATGTGGGCTGTGAAGCTGGGAGTGGGGGGTCGGAGCCAGGCTGTGCTGCTCTTGCTGTTTTGGGGTCACCCTGTTCCCTACACTGACCCAAGAGCTCTGCTCTCCCTCCTGTGAGGTCAGGGGATAGTGGGGCTGGGTGTCAGCTCGTGCTGACCTGTCTGGTAGCACACAGCCTGGGCTTGTGTGGCTCGGCAAGAGAATCTTACCCTGTCCGTGGCCAGCTGGTTGTCCTGTGCCAGCATGCCTGGGGCACAAAGGTCCTTGCAGGGCTGCAAGCACGTGCTGTTGTGTGGGTGACTGTAGCAATGGGTTTGTCACCCCTTCGAGCCCCCTGTGCCCTCCACACTAGGGTTTGGAGTGTGCCATGGGGGTGTTTGGTGGGAGGTGAAGGAAGACTCCTTCCAGCCCTGCCAGACCCCCAGCTCCCCCTTTGCTAGCTCTTCCCTTGGAGCTGGAGCAGAAGCTGAGTGGGGTCTGCTTCATGCTTGGTTTTCCCCTCCCTTGTTGCCTAAGCTGTTTCAAGGGTCTGCTCTTTCACACCTGTGCCCAGTGCAGGGATGTTGCACAAGAACTTACCAGCGCTGCGGTTTCAGTCTTACTCTGAGCTGGGGAACAGGGTGTCATTTTTCCCTCTGAACCCTCCAGATAGCACTGCTGGCATACATTTGTAGCCAGCCACTTCTCTGCCAAGCTCCTGTCCTGGTGGCAACAGCCTCTTGGAGCAGCTGAGTGCTGAACTTTCACTGGTGCACGCAGCCGCTCCTACTGTACTTTGTACCCTTCGTGGGAGCCAGCCGGGGGGGTGGCAGGGTTTCCCTGAGCAGCTGCTGGTACTGGTGCTCTGCCTGTGTGAGCAGCAAGACGCGGGGGGGGGAACGGGACGGGTATGGACGGGACCGGGACGACGACACAGGATGAGTCCCAGGGGATGCTGGCTGAGCCTGCTGTTCCGTGTGGAAGTGGTGCCCCTTCTGGTGACGGCAGGGGCTGCTGTCCTGCAGCCAGAGCCCCTGGGCACCAGGGAGGGGAAACTGCCTGGTCCCATGGTTTCCTGCACTTATGTTGGAGCTGGCTGCTTCAGTGCTATCACTTAGCAGATCACAGCTGCTGATCTGGTCCCGAGAAGACAGAGGGCAGCGATGTGAGCACTGCTGTGCTGCTCAGCATCCCCTGCACCTTGGCTGATTGGACTAGCTGATAGCAGCCCCCAGGCCTTCCCCAGCTTGCAGAAGCTGGCTGGGCAGGTTAGGGGCCTCTCGGGTTAGTATCTGGCTGTGTGTGCCCCAGTGGCCACTGCTCTGTATGGGTCCTGGGGGAGACTCTGCACCCCAGCCCTGGAGAATGATATACTGGTAGTATTTGGGAGCAAGGTGCTGTGCTGGGGGGCTGCTGTCGCATGAGAGGAGATCAGGCTGACCTTGGCCATAGCCAGTGCATGGCAGAGCCGCTCTGGTGTGACTGGCTGGGGCTGGGAGGGCCTGGGCTAGCTCTGCTCCCCCTCTGCAGGGCCCAGGTTGGGATGGGACATGGCCCTGCCAGACACACCCTCACCCTCAACATAAGGGAGGATGTGGTCAGCTGGGTCCTATGCCTGGCTCAGTGGTTGCGGTGAAATGATAGTCTCTCTTAATATGCAGGGTGATAGCATTGTGGGTGGTGACTGACCTGTTGGGGAGGTTGTGATGAGGAGAGGAGCAGCTCTGCAGCATGGCAAGCAGTAATAAACATGGGGTTTCTTGGGGTGGATAAAGGGAGACCTTGTTTGGGGCTCCCTGCTTCCTCTAGCTGAGCACCAGGAATCTGGGGACCATGGCAGAGAGTCCTGGCCCTGTCCCCAGTGCGCAGAGAACACAATGGTAGCCCTGCACCCAGCCTGGGTGTCTGTGACTGCGGCAATGGGTTTCCTCCCATAACTGCCACTCTCCCCCCTTTCCCCATAGTGCTTGGACCAACAACCACCCATTGCTGGATCAGCTGCAGCTCCTCCAGCCCCCTGATGACCCCTTGCTGTGTGAGCTAGGGCTGCTAGGATGGCCCTGCCTCAGTGAGGACCTGGGCTTAGGGAGGAGGACAGGAACTTCACTGGCTGTTGCACACACCCCCAGCTGTGCAGCAGGAGTCTGGGGCTGCATGGTCCTTGCAGCTCGGCTACTCCTGGTGAGCCTGGGTGCGAGGTTGTTCAAGTTGGCTGGGGAGGCTGCCTGCCCCTGGAGCCTGCATGGCGCTTCTGGCTCCCAGGCAGAGTACCAAACCCTGGGCTGGGGAGCAGGCCCTGCTCCCAGCCAGCTCCAGGCTTGCTCTGGCTTGTTGAGTGAAGGGTCCCAGGGCAGCCTGCTGAACAGGTTGGGCTGCACTCTGTGCTCCTGCTTTTTCTGGCACTATGCCTTGCCCAGGGACAGGGCCAGCAGCCCCGCTATGTCCCAGGGCTCTGGGGCAGCTGCTTGCCAGGGTACGTGAACCCAGGATGCTGCAGTGCCCCATCACCATGGGACAGGGAGTAACGTGTTGGGAGGTCTGTGCCAACACACTGTGTACATCCCCTGCAGGACGCCTGACCTTTGGCCTGGGACAGCCTGGCACTATGGCAGACTCCCGCAGCTGCTGTCACCCCTGTTCCACCTGCCTGCTCTGCCTCTACAGCTGCCAGTGGATCACCACCAAGAAGGAGAAGAAAAAAGGCCTGAGAACCACCAAGGTGATACCATGGGTGATGCTGAGCTGGGGCTGGCCAGCCCCTGTGTGGAAGGCTCAAAGTGGTGGCTAGGGTGGAGAATGGCTCTGGCTGAGGGGTTCAGCCCAGAAGTTAGCCTCCTGACCCCTTGCCACTGGTCCCTGCTCCCCAGGGCTGAGCCCCAAGAGAGCTGGGGTACTACCTAGCACCCTCTCTGCCTGAAGCTGTGAGAGGTTGAGCTGTCTGTTCCTGCTGGATAACAAGAAGGGTAGAGCAGCGCACTGGCAGCAGCGAGGCTGAGCTGTGGCCATCCCCTGCTTAGCTAAGTGTGTGTCTGAGGCAGGGTTTGCCTGTGCCTAGAGCAGAGCACTGTGCTCCCCAAGGGCTGAACACGGCAGGCAGGTCCTGAGGCGCTAAGTGCCTGGCAAAGCACGTGGGAGGCACGGTTCCTGGGCTGGGTGCAGCCCCAGTTGATGGGGTGCTGGAAGGGGGTGTCCCCAGCAATTTGTAATCTGGGAGGGGTGAGGCCCTGGGATTCTCTAAAGTCTCCAACTCCCATGGGAGTGGCTGTGCCACTACTTGTCCTGTCTTGCCTGGAATGTGTGAGCTGGTCCGGGCTTCTGGGTGCCCCGCTCAGCACCTGTGGCACTCCTCACCTCCCCGTGTATGTGGGGCTGGGGCCTGGATACTCTGAAGGTGGACCTGGTTTAGGCTGGGCAGGCAGAAGCAGCCTGCAGGCTCACTACTGCAATGGCAGCTCCGAGGCACCACACCCCTCTCAGTCCAGCCCACAGATCACCCAGCTAGTTGGGCACGGGACCTGGCTCCCTACCCCTTCCCATATCCATAGTCACAGCCTGCTCCCAGGGGCTCTTGCATGAGAAAAGAGTCAGTCCTGCCACAGGGGCTGTACTCTGCAGCCTGGCATAGGCAGCTTTTTAGCTTGTAGGAGATGCTGGTCCATCTTCCTGCAGCATGGGTCCAGCCAAAATAGCTCTCCTGGGGAGCTCTGTTCCCTCTCCATGGGGCAGCTTAGTGCCTGGACCCACGAGGCCAGTGCCTGCTGTGATCCCCTGTGCACCCTGCTGCAGGCTGGGTGCTCCCAGGGGTCTCGGCCACCTGACCAGGGGCTAGTTACAGGTGTGTGCATAGCTGTCATCTCTGGCTTTCAGTGTGACTACAGCTGGTTCCTCTTCCTCTTCTGCGTCTTTCTCTTCACACTGGTGTGGCTCTACGTCGCCATCATCATCCTCAATGATTTCCACAACTTCAATGAGTGAGTAGGATCCCACATTCAGCCTTGTTCCCTGTGTCCCCCCTGCCCCTCTGACAGTCCCCTTTGATGGTAGGTTCATCTTCAAGCAGAGGAAGTTGTGGCTAGACTGGTCCCTGGTCCTGCTCATAGCTACAGCTGTGCTGATCACCTACTCAGCTGTGCTGCTGGTGAGTCCTGCTGATCCTGCCTGGGCTAGGGGGGGTAAGGAGCTGTGCTGAGCTCAGGCTGGCTGCTGTGCTCTGTGCAGAGCCGTTAGAGAACTGAGGTGGGGGGTACATTCTGGCTCTGACATCTCCTTGTCTTCTCACAGGTCCTTGCTTTGTGCTTGCAGCTCTGTGGCCAGCCCTTGAAGCTACACTGGCTACACAAGGTGAGACATTGGGGTTGCAGGGAGATGGTGCCTGCCCTGGCACCTTGGGAAGCTTCAACCAGCCTACTGGGGCTGCGTACAGCTGCTGTGACCTCAGAGTGGCTGTGTGTCCCCACTGATCTGGACTGCAGCTATTTGTCCTCCAGTCATCTCTGGGATGGGAATTGCCCTTGCTGAAAGCATGGGGTACAAAGTTCAGCTGCAAACCCAAATGGGGGAAGTAAGGGCTCAAAATGAAGGAATGAGGAGGAATCTACCTGCCCTGTCAGGGCAAAGCCTAACTGGCCTTGCAAGATGCTGTGTTCTCCACTAAATGCCCTGTGCCCTGCCCCACAGACCCTGCTGATCCTAACTGCCCTGACAGTGGCTGCAGCCTTCACAGGGCTGGGAATAAAGTGGGCGGAGGAGTGGAGAAGTGCACGTATCTCCCTGCAGGTGAGTCACCTTGATACCAGAGTCTCCCCTGCTGTACCCATTATCTGGCCTGTGTGGATGAGCTGAAGGGTAGTGACTGGAGCCCCCAGCATGGCTGTGTGCCATAAGGGTTAACTCCCTGCCCTTGACTTCTGCTGCCTGGCTGGGCAAGGTGATCCTTCTGGATTTTCAGTCCTGCCTGAAGCAGCTGCAGTCAGGGTGATGAATGGTGGCTGGACTGGAGCAGGGAATCTGTTCAGTCCCCCAGGAGTCTGTCCTTCCCTCCCTGGCACTGTGGCTCTTCCAGTGCTGCTGGCTGCAGTGGCAGATCCCTGGCATTGGAGCATGTGGATTTTTGGGACAGGGGCTCGACTGGTGCTGGCTGACCCTCTGCCTTTACCTTGCCAGGCAACAGGTCCCTTCCTGCACATTGGAATCGTGGGGGGAATGACACTCCTTGCCTGGCCCCTGGCCAGCTTCATCTACCGCACCCGAAACACAGGTAATTGCCCTCCAAGGTCTCCACCTCCGCCCTCGGCTGGTGCCCTGCTTCCTACTACCCAAACGAGTGGCACTGGTGGCAGAGTGGTGCACAGAGAGTGTCAGTGCAGTGGCAACAGGTGTGTGGGACACAGTCTGGTAATAATGTCTGCTCTTGGTTGCTGTTTCTTATACCCAGCCCTTGGTGCAGCTTCAGCCCTCACTGCTTTGCAGCTGAAGGAGGTCTGTGGATGGCAGACCGAGTTCTGCAGAAGTGCTGAATTGGGGTGCAAGGGCATGTAGTGGGCCAAGAATAAATCTGTAGTGTTCCTGAGGCTGGGAATGCAATGCCTGACCTAGGGCAACCGTAAGTTAATGCCAGCTGAAGCAGTCTTGGTTTATTCCTAATGGCCTGCAAAATATTTCATCTGTACCTCACCCCTCTATCTTCTCTGTCTTTTCTTGCAGGTCTCAAGGTGTTTCTACTGCTTGTGTATTGCATGGTGATGACTGCGCTGTATCTGACTCCCCTGGGAATCACCTCTCCTTGCATCATGGAGGAGAATCAGCTGCCCCCCAAGCCAGCCCTGGTTGGCCACCGAGGAGCACCCATGGTGAGTGACCAGCACTGGCAGTGTCCTGGCATAGTGATCAGGGTGGATGGGGCAGACTGCTCTGCCAGAAAAAGCCAGGCTGGGCCTGGCTGTGGGGCACCAGCATCAGACCCTTGCTGCTGCAGGCCTGAACAAGCTCTGGCCAGCCCAGCAGAGAGAGATCCCCACAGCAGCTAGGGCAGGGCAGCACAGGGTGCGGAGGGTGAGCGCAGCATCTGCAGGGCAGAGCTGTTTGAGTGCTACTGGACCCAGCAGCAGGTGACTCTCAGCAGGAAGTCTGTGTAGTGTGGGCTGGGAAGCAGGGACGAGGCAGGCTCTGGCTGTCTGCACCGAGCCTTTTTACCCAGACCCTTACCAAGGTCACCCCAGTCTCACTGTGGTTGCCCTAGAGCCCAGCCAAGCTGCTGGGTGCAGCCAGGCAGGGTGAGTGCCTGTGTCCTGCCCCTTCCTGCTCTTATGCCCTTTGCACTAACACTGTTACTTTTTTCAGCTGGCCCCTGAAAACACCCTTATGTCGCTGCACAAGGCAGTGGACTGTGATGTACAAGTCTTTGAGACGGACGTCATGGTGAGGTAAACGGGCAGCAGGGACTCGGAGGGAGGAAGGGGCCTGTGTGTCCTGGGATGTCACATCCCACATGGTGTGTTCTAGAACACACCTGGAGGACTGATGGAGCCTGTGTTTGGAGGGAGCCCTGTTCAAAGGGCTCTGCTATTCCCACCTTCCCAGTATGGGACTGGCTCCAGCTTGGTGTCCCAATGATCTGGGAGAGGTACTGGGTTTCTGTCCTCCCCACGCAGGTTGCCTTCCAGGGCATTATGAGAGAGGCACCATTGGGGAGGGGCACCATGTAGAAAACAGACCTTGGCTCTAGTTCATCTCATGCAATCCTGCTATGGGGACAGCTGTTGCACTGAGCAAAGAACTACTTGGTTCCTGGTTTGGTCTCTAGGTCCTCTGTACTTTCTGGACACAGCTTTTTGTATAGAGGACCACAAGTAGGCATCAGGGTGAGGTTTATCCTAGCAGGGTGGCTGGGAGGGGGCAGAAATGCCAGGGCAGGGATAAGAGACAAACAGCTTGCAACACAGAGCTTCCATCTCTGCTCCTTTGCCAGTGCTGATGGGGTCCCGTTCCTCATGCATGATGAGGAACTCCTCAGGACCACTAACGTGCAGGCTGTGTTCCCTGAAAGAGCTGCCCTAAACAGCACCACCTTCAACTGGACAGACCTCCAGCAATTGGATGCTGGCAGCTGGTTCCTAGAGGTGAGGATGCCCCCAGGGCAGCTGGTCAGGAATGTGTGTGTCTGTGGGTAAAAAATGAGCCCTTGCCCTGGGGAAGGTTCCCTCTGGAGTGCTGGTCCTGACAGGCACGTGGACAGGGTGCAGAAGCACTTCCATACCTGCATGAATCCTCTGGGTGTGGTTATGCCCCAAGCTAGGGTTTGTTCGCTGAGTCATGGAGGAGGCTGGTTTGAGGGGAGATGTCTCATGAATTTGCTCTTGAGCTGCATAGCCTGCCTGGACTTGGAGGCAGCTGTGGCAAGGCTCGTCCCACAAGGTGACTAACCAACTGCTGAGCAGCTGCTCTGAATGTCCACAGGTGTTACAGCTGCTTGAACTGTGCTGTTAGTGGGGAGAAGGGTAGAGGTGCCCTGTGCCTGTCTGCACTGGAGAGCATGTGGAGAAGCCACTGCAGGAAACTGAGAGCCAGAGCCAGGCACCAGTTTGGGAGGTAGAAGCTCACAGGGGTCTGCCTATGATAACTAACTCTCACCCTTGCAGCGGAAGCCGTTTCCCACTGTGCAGAGTCTTTCTGCTGGTGATCGCTACCAGGCAACTAAACAGAGGATCCCATCCCTGGAACAGGCACTAGAAGCAGCCAAGCAGAGCAATATCTCCATCATGTTTGACCTCCGGCCTGAGAACCACAGTGACTACCAGAGCTTTGTAAATGCCACCCTGGAAGTGATCTTACAGTCAGGCATCCCACTACAGCAGGTGAGCTGGCCACCACCCCACCACTGCTGGGCTGTGCTGTCACACCCCTGCTGTGATGGGAGGTGCCCTGCCAACCCCACTGAGCAATCCCTGTCACCCCATACACCACATCCCTATGTGTGATCCCTGCTGGAGAACTCTGTCAAGACCTAACGGCCCCTCTAGGTTGGGAGAAATAGCCAATAATTAGGGGTTAATGCCTTCAGACTTGTCCAAATACTCTGGTTCTGCAGCACTGGCTACCCTTGTGTGTAAACAGTGACTCAGTCTAGGGAGGGGACCAACAGCGCTAGCTAGCAAGAGCAGGAAAATAATGATCAGGCTTCCACCTCCCCACACTGTGCCACACCTCTCCCCCCAGCTCTTGCACTCCAGCTGCAACCTCCTGCGTTGCCTTTGCACTTCATCCAACCTCTGCAGCACAGGACATGTGCTGCCTTGAGGGGATGAGTTAGCACCCAAATTGCCTTCTCGGTTATTTGGAATGTAGAGCAGGAGGGGACACAGCGAAGGCTTGTACTGTAATGCTGATCCAAGGTGCATTCTTGCTGCAGAGTTGAGGCCAAAGGGATGCACTGCTTGATCCATTCAAGGACCTAGAAGGGACATAACCTGCTGCAGTTTTATTAGGCTGAAACTGCTTTCTCCCCTCTGTGGGGTCTGTTGTGTTTGCTTCTTGGCTGGGGCAAGCTCCTGGGAAACTGTCCTGGCTGAGATCTTCATGGAGGAGCTAAGTGTGGAGAGGAGGGCAGGAAGCAGCTGCTGAGCAGGCCATGTGCACCTGGACCTGAAGGGAAATAGAAGAGAGCAAGCTCTCTGGAGCACCTCTCCTCTGCATGTGCTCCCTGGCTCTTGCTTAGGTCCTCTGGCTGCCGGATGGGTTCAGGGAGCAGGTCAAACAACGAGCCCCAGGCGTTCAGCAAGTTTATGGCCGGAAGAGACTCCAGAATGAGAAGGAGCCACTGCTGCATGTCAACCTGCCCTACCAGGACATGAGTTCTGAGGAGATCAGGTAGAAAGCCCTGTGCCCAGGAGCCTGGGAGCGATGGGCTGTGGGGCCTGGGCACTGTCCCAGCTCTGTCCCAGGGGCCAGCTGAGGCTGAGTGCTGGTGTATTGCTGGAAAAGGGCGGGGTGTGTGCTACAGCCTTGCAGACAAGCATGCCTTATCAGGCAGGGCTGGTGCAGGGGATGGAGCTGGCTGCAGTCCTCTGCCTTGCCAGCAAATCTGCCCTGGGTCTGGCTCTCCAGACAGTTGCTCCATGCGGCTGCAAATGCTGGATCACATCCCAGATAGTCCTCTCTGGCTGTACACTGAGTGTGCTGGCACCCTACTGTCTGCTGCTCTGACCACTGCTGTCCCTATGCAGGCAGTACCGCCAGGACAACATCTCTGTCAACTTGTATGTGGTGAACCAGCCCTGGCTCTTCTCTGTGCTGTGGTGCTCTGGGGTGAGCTCTGTCACCACCAATGCCTGTCAGGTGCTGAAGGAGATGAAACACCCTATCTGGCTGCTTGTAAGTGACCCCTTCATCCTTCAGCCTGCCCAGTGCCTCAGGCACTTGTGGGTCCCTTTCTGCAGCAGCCCTGGGCAGCCAGCTGCCTGGAGGGTGGCTTTTGCTCAGTGCTGTGCTGGCATGGAAACAGAAGGGACTGTGCCACCACCACACCACCCCTGGCTGCTGTTCATGGCTTGTCTTGTTGCCTTGCAGCCCAGCAGCACGTACCTCATGATCTGGATTGTTGTAGATTGCGCTTCCGTCCTTGCCATCCTCTGGGCCTTCCTCTTGCTGAAGTACGTTTGATGCCTTTTGCCCTCCTGGGGCAGGTCTGTTGGAGGTGGCTGTAGGGTGCCCTGGGTGGCTGGTACATAACCCAAACCCACTTGTATCTGCTGCCACCCCTCTCGGGACTCAGATCCTGAGGGGCCCTCTCCTGTCTAGCTGAGTGAGACAGCAGTGTGTGGAAGCAGCTTTTATCACCAGGCTGCAGCTAAAAATCTCACCTGACCCTTCCTTGAGCAGCTGATGCCTTAGGTCACACTGGCTAGCTTGCTGTGCAGCCAAGGGCTTGGTGGGCTGAGCCTGGGGGACCTTGGTCCTGCTCCTTTACCAATGTCAAGAGCAGATCCTAGCAGGACTGACTGTGTCCTGTGGGGCCCCACAGTCTCCAGCCGGGAGCTTGGGGGAGGGAAGGGGGAGGCCAGACTGACATGCTAACATCAATCCTATTCCATCTCCCAGGAAATGCTCCCAGAGAAGACAGTCAGCGGGTGAGTGTGCACAGATGTAAGCTTCCCTCCCTCGGAGCCAGGCTGTTCCTGTGGGACTCTCCCTGGCTGGCAGACAGCTTTCTCCAGCTGAACATGACAGAGCAGTTTGGGATGGCTGGAGGGAGGGAAGGGAATCCCAGCCCAGGGAGTTCCTGTCCTGCCCTTAGCAAACAGCCCTGTGGGACAGCACTGGGGAATCCTCCATTCCCCGAGTCTCCTCAAACCTGCTTTTCAGGTGGCTGTGCCTGTTGCTGTGGGATAGTGGCTGCCAGCAGTGACTGTTTTTTCTCTCTGTCTCCCTAGAGTCCGAGACGGACGTGCTGCTCACAAAGATCAACAGCCTGATGCAAGAGTGACCCTCTGGCCTGCATCAGCCATGGGGAGGGGCAGCCAGAGACCTGCCCAGCTCCCATGGGCAGCATTTCTCAGGCCAGCTTTGAGGCTCCTTTCCTTTGCAGACTCCTTCTTGAACCTCTTGTTCCCCACAGCCTTCCCGGTGCCTTGTGTGGTACAGCTGAAAAGACCTGGAACTGGGTTCCCAGTTCCCACTGGAGGAACTGGAGCCTTTGTAGGGGTTTCCTGGGGCTGGCTTGTGCCTGGGGGCTGAGTATCTATCCGGTGGTGCTGGGGCTAAGACTCCTCCCCTGGGGTTTGGAGACTAGGGGGGTGTGAGTCGTCATTTGGTTGGGAAGGGCAGCCTCTGCCTCTTAGCACCAGCTCTGTAGCCAGTGCTGGAAAATCTTGATTGAAATGCTGCTCCCCCGAGCACTGCCCTGCTTCCTCGTGGCTTGAGGAATAGGAAAGGGGGTGGGATGGGGGGTGGGTGGCTTGTCACAAGATGGAGAGGGAGTTGAGCTTTTCCCACCCCAATCCGGAACACAAGTCCTGCCCCTGTTGCTGCTGGCGGGTCAGGGTGCGGGCACCCCACGCAGCAGTTCTGCGTGTTGCTCCTGGGGGGAGAGGGAGCAGGGGGTGGAGGTGGAGGGTGACTGGGGGTGG